GCGTAGATGAAGTTCTACAGATACCACTCATATTCTATCGATAGTTCAACCGACTTTTGTTCAGATTGGTTGTACTTGAAATCGCAAATCTGCCAATTGCCCCTGCCAATCTGTGCCATAGCTAATTCTTTTAAACACTTAAGTGATTACTGGTAAATGGTGATAGCGACTCCAAGAAATAGAAATTTCAAGATAAAGAAAAAAAACCAAGATTACCTTGGGAGGCCAACTCTGGCTCCCTCCTTTCGTATTTGCTTTCAAAATATATTGAGTTGTTCTTAGAAGAAGTCGAACGGCCACAGCGACCACTGGGGGATGTTAAGAGCACAAGTCTTATTCCTCAGTCTCGTCTGCTGTTAATCCATGATTATGATCACTATGTCGGCATAACTTGTTTGCCCACTCATGAAAACAGAATTAAGGTTGTGGTGAAACTACATTGCCTTTAGCGGCGTGCTAATGGATAGTCACACATGACTAAGCATCCTGAAAAGAAACCTGAGTTTCGATTTAATTTTAATGCAGATCAAATGAAGCGAACGGGCTATGTGTAGGCAACTTTTGTACGTGCAACCTTAAATTTTGTTTCTGATGTCAATCTGTGTTAGCTAATGCCATAGCTGACCGTCTACAAGTTGGAGGCGTTCTTTCATATAGTTTAGCAGACATTGCAATTATTTTCCTCAGTCAGGCCGCTTACTCAAATCGATTTGTTTCTTTTTCCCGCTCTGCAATATGCTTACACCTCTAATAAACTCAATCTGGCGTTTTACCAAGCTACAGTTTTTAAGGAAGCAAATAACAAATTTACAGTCGTAATGCTTATGCCTCCTTTCAGCAGAGTTTAACTTATTCCAAACAGCACTTCGCTTCACTGAATTTTCAACGAACGCGCAAGCAAATCAGTCACGTTCAACGAAAGTGCGAACTTGGCTGACCAACTTTTGATTTTACATGCAACGTTTAATTAGGTCTAAGTAAAGCAAAAGAGGCGGATTAGTTAAAGTGTTGAAGTGGCCAGCAAAGGCATACTAGCACTAGTACTAATGCCCCGGGAATGTTTAGTTACCTTCTTCCCGCTGTTAAGGAATAATGATTGGTATTTCAAAAATCACACTTTGCCCAGGTGGTTCCTTCTAGGGGCACGCACAGTGAGCGCTTCGAAACAATAGAACAAAAGCGATTGTTCCAGAAGACTTCTGATTGGCCAATTTCGTGTGCCGCTAAACTTAACTTGTTCTCTGGTGGTTCGCGCGCTTTTTTTTTAAATCGATTTTTAACGCTAGCACTTAAATAACCCAAGAAAGACGGATGAAAGGCGTGAAAAGGAAGAAAAACAAGTCACATATCACTAGTTAAAACATATTTACTGCAAATGCTTCCTTCAATTTTTCAGTTTGATGCTTCGGGTTAACTCTTCCATTTGGTTGAGTAAGTTAGCCATGCAGTAAGATTCAAGCATGCATAGAGAGCGAAAGATTGACAACACATTCTTTACATGTGATGTGACTTGTTTTGAATTTGAATTCAACTACATTCATTCAGACAGACGAACAATACTAAGGAATGTTACCTCCGAAGAAATAACCAGACTAAAAACCATTAAAATCACTTCGCGGCTATTTCACAATAACACTTCCCTAAAGTTGTTTTTATTCATAATAATTGGTTTATTTCTTCGAGTCCTTCCGGATCTATTGTGGTCTTAGTCAAATGCGAAAAAAATGCCCGGCCAAGATCGTATTTCGTACTCTGTATAGCGACTTTCAAAAGATATCCAATTTGTTGTACCTTCATGAAATCCTTAAAATACAATATTTTATCCTCCTGGATTTCGCTTTGATTTCCACAATGAGCGTCTGCGCATGACACAGGACAATGCAGTTCATAACCTGAGCATTTTTTCGTGGACCCCTAACTGCCACATAAATCTGGCCCTAAAGACAGATTGCAAACTATCATTTCTACATTGTTTTTCTTTGATTTGTGCTGAGATTTTTTCTGTGGACGCAAGCGCAATTAAGAGAATTAAAAGCATAATTGTGTCAAGTGAGAAGATTTAAGTCGACCCAAAGAAAATCTCCCATATGCGCACCCACTTCATAGTGGCTTTAAATAAAGTAACAGTGATAATCTTGTTGTTCCCTTAATTAAAGATCAGCGGTGCATACTAAGAGTTGAGAACTTTCTTTGAAAACGTGTCAAAATATGTTAAAGATTCTCATATTCTTCTGTGCTAAACTGGAGATTTATGAAGTATGATCGATATTTTGTCATAGAAATCCTCCAAGCTTGTAACTTCCTCTCTTGAATTACCCTAAGGAATTAAGCCCGGGTTACTCACTCGAACACAGACCCACTGAGCATTCTAATGAGGTCAATGCTATTCAGCGACTTTGGTTTAAGAGGAGGAACCAGGTTGCTATGAAGGTCGAGACAACAATGAAAGATCATCGTAAAACATAATGAAAACAACTTTGAGCGTTAGCCGTATGGACTTATGAAACTAGATATAACGACGGTTTAGGAAATGAAAATTAACGATATCATTGGTTTCAGAATTTGTTGGAAGGCAATCGACATTCAACTTGAAAAAAAAGTTGGTACGCGAATTTTAATATTTCGATCCATTGTAAATAGCCTTTCATATGAGTTGTACTTAGCTTAGGCTTGTCATCATAACATGAAATATTGTTTTGCCTAACGAAAACAGTTTTCAGCCAATGTTTTTCTTGTTGTCATGGTAATGGTCTCTTGATCTGTTGATCTTCGAATATAAACAAACAGTTCAACACGGTAGCTGTTTACTTTATGGTTAAAAACATGGGCAGGTACCCACTAAAACCTGCTACATTATTATTACTACACGCATCGATGAACAACGCCGCAATGCTTCACACAACTAGAGATCACTAGAAGAGTTTAATGTTTCCATAACAACTGAAACCACGTCCACCGGAAATGGAAAGCGCAGTTTCCGGAAACGTAGTTAGTGCCCAGTTTATGCGCGGTATGTTGAAGTTTATGTCAAAAAGCTTGCAACTGCCCTTTCTGCCCAATTAAAGAATTGGGTCGAGAGATGTGTCGAATTGCTCCATAGGAGTGTTTAAAAGAATCCAGCGCTATTTCCGTCATTACACGGCTGATAAGAGGCTTGGTCAAAATTCGCACCTCAAACCCTGTACAGTCCCTGGTGGCGCAATTGAACGCGACACCAATCATGGTTCTATCGGTAGATGGGCCCCCCCCCCAAGAAAAAGGCCAAAATGTTATCACTACAGTTTATAAGTAACTATATCGGAAAATCATCTAGACGTGACGAAGTCAGTGTACACACTGTGACATTTCTCAAAGTTGTCTCAAAATGCATCAGATTGCATCTTCGCGCATATTTATTTCAAAAAATTTTCCGGGGGGCACGCCGCCAGACCCCCCTAGGAAGCACGTGGCCTTCTGCCACTCAGGACTTCTTCCCCAAACGATAAATCTTAGATAGAACCCTGCCAATTCAGTCACTATCCAGCCTCAAATGGTCCATAGGGAATTAATTTAAAAGTTTGCTCTTTTGTGACTGACGCTCAGAAGCAATAGATGTTATAAAAATTTCCCTATAGCTAGTCAGTCCTTATGCGGCGATCGCATTACACTACCGAAGAATGATATAGGAACCATTTGGTTCTGTTTATTTAAAATCTTTGTTCTTAAAGACGAACGTAAGTTTCTTAAGTGCCCTGGCTACTTAATTAAGCATCTGACATCGCTTAAGTACAAAAGATTCTATTATGGCTGTGTGAAATTAACATATTTTAAACAATGCATATACTTGTCAAAAGAGTTTGGATGTGCAAAGGTTTTTCCATGTTTATCGTTCAAAGCATTACAAAATTGCTAAAATGCCTTGAGGTGAACTGGTAGTTAAGCGTTTAATAAACTTAAACGCATTATTACTTTTGAGCCAGTTTTGTTAGTACTGTTAAATTCGAGTTTGATATTTATTTTGCTGAATTAATTTGGGCCCCGTTTAGTAACAAAAGCCGGAGTATACAGCCTACACGTGGACAATTCAATCCTCTGCCAACCCTCGACTTTCGGTAACAGCGACTGTTCCGGTTATCATAATTCCTTCTTATTAAGTAACAAATTTTAAAAAAGACATCAGCAAAGATTAGAATTCTAATAATGGATATACAGCTATGACGGCTGTCACTACCGACGAGATGTTGTATTTTTCGGTTTACCTTTCTCGGCTTATGAAATTACAAATTACAAGAAAAGCAGGGTTTCTTTCGGTTAGATTATAATATAGATTTCAACAATTAGTGTAACTTAGTTTTTCTGGTCTAGATCATGTCGGTCGACATTAACTTCTCACGTTGTAATATCCTTGTTCCTTTGAGTCGGGGTCGCCGGCGGGTGAAATTCTATGGTGTTTGACAACGCTTTTCTATTTAAATTGTTCTTTTCGGCAGTATTTTTGCTTTTATATTTTAATTTTTCGTTTTGTTTACAAAAATAATAAAATACGACTTTCTTCGAATTTTTCAATCCTTTAATGATTGAGTAACTTCCCTATCATCTGTAGATTGATAACTTGAAAAACTTGTAAGTGAAAGGTTTAATGCTAAACTTCACTTAGAAGTCGACTTGCTGTCTTATTTTTATAGCTTTTAAAAGCATATTTTATTCTAAGTTTAAATTTCGCCACGTGCTTGGAAAGCTTTGCGGAAATCCGCTGACCAGTTCCTCTTAGTAACACCGGCTCAGGGTGTTCCTTGGCAACAAAACCGTCCCGAAAGCAATGCGCCAGCAAAGCGCTTTTAAAATTCAAAAAGTAAAAAAAATTCTTTAAAATTCAGAACTAATAATGCAGTAATCTTACACGTTAGCAAAATTCAGCCTATCAACGTTAAACTTGGTCTCGTCCAGCGTGGCACTGGATCTCGGTGCAAAAACATTGACGACGTTGAAACTCTGCAGTTCGCCGACTCTGTTCAGCTGAGATGGACTCACGTCTCGTGTTAGCGTTTATTTTAATTTCCAGTTTAGGTTTTTCTGGTGCGTTCTGGCTAGGCGGTTCTAGTAACGATGGAACTGTTCGCTTCCACAAAGGGAGCCAATTTGGTTTTGAAAAGAACCCTCAAATTTACTCGCATCTTGTGATACCGCCGTGGAATAGACCTTTCAAACCGGGTTACTGCGCAAGCTGGGAATGGCACACAGATAAAAAATACAGAGACAAACGAGTGGCAATCTGCAAGCAATACACTGAAGGTAAGTATAGTCCGCAGTTTTGATTTTTTTTATGTCCGATTTGGATTTTATTCTTCAATCAGGTCTTAGCCGCTGGACACAGTCATAGCGCTGACTTGCAAATGAACCTTATATTGGAGTTCGCAAAAAAGAAAAAAGATATTAATTTGTAATGTTTAAGTAACTCGTTACGATATTTTTTTGGGAAATGTGGTCTGCGCAAACTTTTTAGCAAAGCTTAGTTTTATGTCTTGAAGAAGCTTTGCGACACAAACTTCCTCTGGATTCCACGTCATTTTCACCTGTTACGTTCCACCGTAAACAAAAGGTGAAACTGTGCGTTTGAATTATCGATTTCAACAGGTCTTGCGAGATGACCGCGTAAAGCCAAGCAGAAAAAGCGAAGATAATCACGCAAAAACCGACGGAGATCGGAGAAAAATAGTTGTTTTTGACTAGAATGGAAATCTTCGGATTAGCAAATTTTCCAACGATTTAAAACTTTGGATGACATTTTAATCCGAAAGAATTCTGTCGCAATTAGGACATTGGTATCTTTTTTACCTTTTCCAATTTTTATGAGGTTTTCGGAAATCGTTTATCTTTCCGGGCCCTGTTTCTTCAAGTAACTGGCAATTATTTACTATAAGCCGCTCATATGTCTTCATTAAAGTAAATTTATTGATCTTTCATGTCTTGCCAGTTTTCTTGAGAATGAAAAGATGTTTTTTAGTCAATAACGTCGAAAATGGTACTTACGGTGGTATCTTGAGAATAAAAACTGCCTTTATAACATTTTGAACTTTGATTAGTTCGGAACTTGAATTTTTTAAGTTACAGATAATTATAGCATGCACTCTAACCAATACTATAGGTTTTTGCTCGGGAAAATGGTCTTATCCAATATTTATCCTATTATTAATTAGTCACAACAGAAGAATAAAAACGATGGTTGACATCGGTTTATATTTCTCTGTAACTAACAGGTAAACACGAGTGTGATTCCGACACCGGTTTCTGCCAAGATAAGTGTCCTTATACAAATGGCAGTTATCCATATTGGAGAATCCGCAATGCCGTGGATGTTCCGTTCTTGTGGGTCATTTCAGGTATCAAATTTTACGATACTGCAACCTCCAACAAGCCTCTCAACATTGATCCGAAGCGGGGCTACGCTAGCAGCTACTTTGGACCTGGTGAGTCATGATTTGATCAGCTTGTATTCTAGACTACGAGTAGTCCGCCATTTTTCCTCAGGGATAGTAGAGCGAGCGAAACGCGAGTGCGCGTGAAAATCACCCCACGCGAGAAAAGGCGACACGCCTCTCGCGTGGGGTGATTTTCACGTGCGCTTGCTTTTCGCTCGCTCTACTATCCCTGAGGAAAAATGGGGGACTACTCGTAGTCTACTTGTATTCTAGTCACTTAACCGTGTACTCAGGGGCACCCAACGAGAATATAGTTGAAAATCACTTAAACACAGCATTGCTGAAGGTATTTTAGTATTTAAACGGTAGATATAGGCATATTTTTATCACCTAAAAATTTTTTATCTGTTCGGATTTCCTAACTGAAAGTCTAGTGATCCGAAAATTACAGGGATCAAAACTTACCTTTTCGAAAACTTCAGCCGGAAAAAAGGCTCCCGAAAATTCTAGGTGACCATTTTACAGTTACAAGTGCAAACGAGGCTGGAGTTGACTCTTGGTTTAATACAACCCCTCCTGCTTTATTATGTAAATGAAGTTGTTGTTATGCTAACCATTATTTCTTCAGCAAAATTTCCTTAAGAAAAAGGAAGAGGTTTGTATCAAAGCAACGTCAACCTCAGCCTCTCGTTCACTCAAAGGCTAGGATACTACGCCCACCACTGTAAAATGTTCTATTGACGATCGGTGTCCCTGTGCACTTACTGATGAATGTATTTCCTATCATTTAAATAAAGTGCCATTATGATAGAGGTTGTCTATTGCGAAAGGTTGGCGTGTTGCCTTTTGACTCTCTTTATTTAGCTCAACAAATTAAAAGTTTCGCGTTTTAAAATCAACCATTCAGTGGAGCCTCCAAAATGTGCTGAACGTATTACTTTTCCACCGATTGGTTAATTGGACAGGATTAACTACTCGCGATTTTCCTGTTTTAAAGACCCTGTACTTTTTACTACGACATTTATAAGCGATTTACAGTGATTTTCTAATTAATTGCCGGTTATAATAAGTGCGCAGCCGTTACAATACCGGGATACAAATTAGGGTAAAATTGATTCAAAATTTGTAGCAAAAAATCTCACTAAAAATTGCCCGAAAGGCGTTCAAACATGCACTTGAAAATTTAACTGAGTGACAAAGATTTCCATGTTTGTTCTCATTTTCCTACTTGCATGATTCAATTTTTTTTCTGTGATCATTTTGCCATATTAGCCTTGCAGTCAATATAGCAAATAGACCACTTCCGTAAAGCATTTTTTTTGGCCAAAAAACTGTACTATTTATATTGTAGCCAACACGATATAAAAACTAAGAGTGTATTTAACCATTTTTTCCTCATATTCTCCTCCTTTCTTCCTCCTTGCTCTTTCTTTTTCTCGTTTTTACTTTTCATTTGCTTGCGTGATTTTTAGTTCGAGCTCATCGGTCGCCTTTAGCCCCTCTTCACTTTCTGCAAATGGCTGCAAATTTCGCTCGGCTCGCTTTCAGAAAATCGTATAAAAATGTAATTATTGTTTTTTAAATGGTACAGTAATTGATTTTTCTTCAGTTCTCATTGTTTAACTGTTCTCGCATTCGGTTTATACTGAAAGTACAAAATTTGTTTTTAAACTTTGTTACATTTAAAGGTAATGTTACACGGGACAATTCGCAACTAAGATTTTTAGCGCAACACAGCGTTGCAACATTGTTTGGAATGGTTACAACATTGTTCTAACATTGCAACGCTGTTTTGCGCTAAAAATGTTAGTTGCGAATTGTCCCGTGTAACATCACCTTAAGGACGGCAATCCATATATAAACTAAAAGTAAGTCAAACAAATAAAAAAAGGAAAAAGATTTAGTTTTGACCAATAGATGTACGTTATAAATACGAAAATTACATCGTGACACCTCACGCCATTCGCCTGGTACTTTTTACGTGAAATTTGAGGGCTAATTTTTGTTAAATATCACTCGTCCTTATTTTTTGCAACGTAGGTTATCCACCCAGCATGGCATTTGATAACAACCCGGAAAGTATCTGGATCTCAAATGGAGCATCTCTTCCCGGCATGCAGTGGATTGGATACGAATTTCCTCACCCAGTGTTTATCGGCTCTGTCCATATCTCCACAGAGGAGGATAAGCCAGACCGCCTTCCTGCTTTGATGTATGTCGAGGCATCGTGCGAGAAATACTTCAGAAACTTTGTCACACAATGGGTCGTTTATAATCCTGATCACAACGTCAATAAGCGCTACAGTGGTAAGCTTTACTTGCAATGTAATGTTATTCGTTAAGCATAATATGTAGATTTAGCCAGTGCTAAAAGCGAAGCTCTGGTTAATAATAATTATAAACAACAACAAAAATTAAATCGTGTAATGCTAAACGGGTACGGCAATGAAAATGGCATCAAGATCAGCAAAACAAAAACAAAAAAACAAAACAAGACAAATTCGCACGTGCAGCACACTTTTAATTTTTCTAATTAGCAAAACAATTTGCACGTGGCTTTTTTGTCTTTCTTTGCCGTTGTTTTGAACGACTACAATGCCCTTTTTAATTTTATGGAGTAATTGTCCTATATGCTTACCAAAGATTTTGTTTCCTGTGTTCATGTTCGCTTGTATTTTGTCACTGCCGCTCATTTTCACCTTGCTGGCCGCTATCATTTCTCTTTTTCTCACCACCGCTATGAAATTTTGATGTTTATCTTCCACCGAAATTCATCTCCTTCGTTTTTAATCACTCGCTCTAGCTCTTTCTCTGTTATCCACGTGGGTGTAAACATAAAAAATAACCTCGAAAAAGACACGACTTTGTTGTTTTTTCTCTCTAAAAGTCCGGGCAGCCCACAGGCAGCCCAAGCTCGGTGCATAAATTACCGCGAGTTTCGATACCGTTTTGCATATTACGAACGATTTAAAGACTTTGCACGAGAAATTAAATATAGCTGTTAAAACGTAGAAATATAATATAGAAATAAACTGAACTTACGTGAACTTGGGTCAGTTGTTGCTTTTTCTGTGTAACCTGAGCTCAATTCATGGCCATTTTATACGGTTTTGTAGCTCGTTGTTTGTTCGGTGTTATTTTCCTACATAAAGCGAAGCAAGGCAGGAGACTGTGTGCAGTCGCAACTCACAAATATCTCCCACATCAAAGAACCGCGCACTGATTCACTATGGGAGCGCCAAATCCTTTAGGCATGGTCGGTCTCTTATCTCTTCCCCTAGTCATGGGTATTGCGATGTGGGAGATTGGTTCTGGGCAATCTGACGTGCACTCAGGAAACTCGATGACTACGTGTTGCGTGGTGAACGCGAATATGGACTCAGGGGAACCGGGTAGTCAATGCTGCATGACAAAACATGGATCTTCCTACCCTCAGATAGTCTACAGATTGCGCGTGAGCGGTGTTTGGAATTATCCAATTGGATTAGCGTATTTAAGATGTTCGGGTTCACCACGCAACAGGTCACACAAACAACGGGCCGCAAAACCGTATAAAATGGCCATGAATTGAGCCCAGGTTACACAGAAAAAACAATAACAGACCCAAGTTCACGTAAGTACAATTTATTTCTATATTCATGCCTATATTTCTACGTTTTAACGACTATATTGAACTTCTCATACAAAGTCTTTAAATCGTTCTTAATATGCAAAACAATATCGAAACTCGTGATAATTTATGCACCCAGTTTGGGCGCCTGTGGGCGGCCATGCGATTTCCTTCCAAATAGAACCTTGAGTTGCATTTAGGTTGCAATACCTGTTGATTTTACATTGGTATGCCTGTGGTTTGGGCGGACAGGTGGACGTACGGTCAAGTGATTACCAAAATTTCTTGGATGGGTAGATTACCACATTTTCTTACCCATGGTGCTCCTCTATAAAGACCTTTAGATTCTAAGACGAGGACGACTACGAGAACAACATTTTCACACTACTTTCTTAAAAGTAGTGCGCGCGGCTGAATCAGGGTCATTTTGGCGGGAAAAAGTCGAAAATGAAAATGTAATGGCGGAAACAAGTTTCATCAAATGTCAGAAGTTTTATCTTTTCTGGGATAGGGAGAGGGCCACGTATAGCCTCTTTCAATAAAGATAAACGTCCTATCTTTTCTGCTCAAAAACGTACAATGAGGCTTTCCGGGGTGTATCAAGACTGGGATGAGCAATGTTGCCGGCCACTTCTGTTCTCATATAGGAACGGTATCCCAGGCAGTACCGGCGGCCATGCCTCAGGTGCATTGCCTTTGGCGGCATATGAGAACCAGGTTTTAAGGTCTCTATTATTTTCCCATAATCGACAAGTTTAATGAATTCTTCATGCATAATCAGCATCCACCATAAAATTTAAAAAAAGGATAAATCCTGCAGGGATATTCTAGGTATCGCTTTTTAAAAAGAATTGAAGCGAAATTTTTAAAAAAGAAAAAAAAATCAACAAAAAAAAGTGTTGTTTAATTCCAATTTAGGTCAGTTTTCGTTCGACTTTATATTGCTAGCCTAAATGATTAAACGTTTCACAAAGAGAAATTTCTAAACAAATGTAGTTGAAATGATGTGAGAAAACCAGCAAACTAGCCTTTTTGGCAAAATTAGCCTGCGTAGCAAACGTTTCCTCGCGAGGTTCGTCTAGAAAGCTGGGGCAAGAGCAAAAAAAATGAATGACGGGGGAGGGGGAGGGGAAAGAAGGAACCCCTCCCCTCCCCCTCCCCCTTCAACCTTTTTTTTGCTTCCGCTCTAACTTTCGCGCAATAACTCGATTGGAAACGCTTGCTACGCAGGCTATGGCAAAATTTGCTTGTGAGGTAAGGTCACCTTAATTGGGATGTGACTTTTTCCCTCTAGTTTTCAATATGGCGAAGTTTACCACACTGGGTGCCACAGGGCGCATGGGACCTTCTTCAGTAGGGATGCATTATCAGGGGCAGGATCATGAGGGACAAGTTACAGTGCACAAGGGAGTTCAAATGTGGAAGGTCCCTGCCACTGGAACGTACACAATCGAGGCATCAGGGGCGGCAGGCGGATATGACAAATTCACGTCGTGTAAGTAAAGATATTTATCACAAAAAGTGATACATGCGATGGTAGACTTCTGTATTCGTACTAAGGATAACGAACAACCAACTTTTAGGAAAGATAGGAGCCTATGTGGACAGTGAAATTTCTCTTAAAGGAACTCTCGGTATTTTAACTATCTTGAAATAAAATGAAACTTCGTTTGATTAAATAGAAGAACGCCGAAAGGTAACCATAATCTTTTGCTTATTAAGGGCGGTTTAGGATGAAGAAGATTATGTTACAATGGATTACAAATCGACAAACTTGACACATTTGGGACAACATTTGAAGATGTTGACAGTTGTAGAAGCCATGTCGTAGCTCAGGCGTAACTTATGTGAACACAGCAAGTGATACGTAAAATACTCTTGTAATTCCATAATGTCTTTGTTATCAGCAAGCAAACGGGGTAAAGGTGCTCGTGTGAAGGGCAACTTCCATCTCAAGCGAGGGGATGTCCTAAAGATTCTTGTTGGTCAGGAAGGAGGGGTGAACACTGCGTCAGGTGGAGCAGGGGGAGGGGGTGGAACATTCGTTGTTACAGATGACAACACCCCCCTGTTGATTGGTGAGTACTTCACAGTGATTTTTATTTCGCTTAAAAAGATTTAACTCGTTATCCGCTGAAGGGATATAACTTACTTTTACTTTGTCTAAAATGTCAACCGTCTCCACCCTCCACGGTTGAGGGGTGGAGATGGGGGGGAGGAGGGGGGTCTCTAACTTTGACTCTGAAGATGACTAACGCAGAGGAAGTCGAAAAAAAAACTATCGAAGGGGAAAAAACAACTTGAAAACCGGGGCAGGGGGTCTGAACTTTCCAAGTTATTTAAAAAATGGACTCGACATACGGAAACGATGTTTCTCGGATATCGAACTACAGTCTTGGGCAGGATAAAATGAAACAGGAAACCTCCCATCCCCTCCTCCCCAAAATCAAGGATAAAGCTGCGCGGAGGCCAAAATACGCCTTTCTTCTATCTTTCATTTGGGGTGAGGTCTAAATTTTCCATCTGTTTCGTCCCAGATTGTGGTTTAGTGGGTGAGATCGAACTGTTTTGTTCTATTGCAGGTGGTGGAGGTGGTGGTGTTGACAAAATGAAGGGCGATAGTCCGCGATGCCACGGATCCTCAAGCAATAATGGAAACGGAGGGTACGGAGGGTCCCAGTTTCAGGGAGGGTCGGGAGGCAGAGGAGCTGAGGAAGGCGATAATAACTACTCAGGAGGAGGGGGTGGTGGATTTGAGACTAATGGACGTTCAAATCAGAATTTTGGTGGCGCGAGAGGCACTGGAGGAGAAGGGGGCAAATCATTTTATAAAGGTAACTTGATTACTTCATGAAAGGTTAATATTACTTCTACTCTCCTTAGAGAGGGCTTTGAGCTAACATTCAAAATATATAGGGGGAGAGTTAGGGGGAACAGTTCAGGCTCATGCAATTATTATGATACAACATCGAAAATAATTCCTTCGCCTGAGCGCCGCTCCTTTTTCTTAACATCCCCATAGTGAGTATTTTACGAAGCAACAAATCCATGATGTAATCGGCGTCGGGCATGCTGAAAAGGTGCTTGTAATCAGTCGAAACGGCTAATTGTGTGCGCGAGAGGGGTTGAGACGGCGTTAAAGTCAAAGGAAGGGCAGGACAGGAAAATTTCCCTTACCGATAGGTCAAATAAACATTTCTGGGTTCTGAGCCCGCTGCCAATTACAATTATTACCATTCCGTCTGTGTTCCACTCTTTAGGCTATGTTCGCACTTTACCGAATAGCCCTTGCGCCGGCACGAAAACCATTGCGGATAGGGCCTCTGTTCACACATAAGAACGGTGATTTTGGCGCGATTCCTGTAACGGAGCGAAGCTGCCACGCGCCAATTTTGAGAATGGAGTGTCACTTATCGGATAGGTTCTGTGCATACTTTGGTGCAGTGTCAACAGGTATTTGGACGGAAGTGAATAAGTAGGAGCGAGGACTGGAATCCACTTAGACGGAAGTAAATATTCAGGAGTGAGGACTGGGATTGAGTTCACCAACTCCTCTTGGCCAACTGCTCCGGCACGATATTCGATGTGTGAACAACTTGTTCCAGTTCTGTGCCGCCTTTATTCATCGTTTACCGAATAACTTTTCGTGCCAGCACGAAAAGCCATCGGCTGTAGTGTGAACATAGCGTTAATTACCCAGTTTTTCAATCAATTTCCTAAATCTTTGATGAATTACTTTTCAGGCGGTGTCGGAGGTCGTTCGAACCAGAATGACGTAGAAGGTGGATTTGGAGGTGGTGGCGGGCCTAACGGAGCTGGAGGGGGTGGTGGAGGAGGTGGTGGTTATTCTGGAGGGGCTAGTGGCAGCCGATCGAACTCCTGTGGGGGTGGAGGCGGATCGTTCAACAATGGCCAGGAGCAGTCTAACCAGGCTGGAGCCAATGCTGGGTCTGGTTACGTCATCATCAAACTTCTTAATGTCAGATAGTTTTTTGAAATTCCGTTTTGCAATAGGCACGCTAAGAATTCTTTCTTGATCACGCATAATGGTTATTTTTTGCTGTGAAGTGTTAAATCCTAGATTTCGTCGAGATTCAGCTTAAGAAACAAATAGGCATAGACATTCTATCTTGATCATGTATACTGGCTTATTTTCTGCGACATATGTTGCATTTTAATTTCGTTACACTTGTTGTTATGTATTGGCTTTTTTGACTAAGAAATTAAACCAACTAACAAATCACGGATAGCTTCTTATTTTTTGAAACCTCTCAGAGATATAAGCAAATAGAACTAACCCAAACCATAGTTAATAGAGTGAGTGGAATGGTTAATTTATTAGGGTTTGAAGCCTCTCAGAATACTTTAATTTGTTATGTGTTTTTCTGGACTTGAAGGTGCACAACGTTCTATAGCATTCCTATGATTTTAATGTTACTTAACAATTAAAATGTCACATGATAAATTTATTCCGTCGCAATTTGTGAACAAAAAACAATGAATTCTGCACCCTCCGGTAGCCCCCAATTTAAACTGCAGCACTGTTATTGTTAACTTTGATATTTGGCACCATTGATAACCACTCTCCTCTATTAACTATGCTAATATCAGTAGAGAAAATAAAAAGAGAGAACCAAACAAGAGCAAGGGAAATGAAAACAAACAAACAAAAGAAATGAATTTCCCTTTTGACGAAAGGGGGAAAGGGATAGGAAAAAAGGCGATATGACTCTAAAACGAGATAAGAACCTTCTTAATCGCATCTGTGTATGTATTTATTATTAATTTGTTTGCGATCGCTCTATGTTGGTTTAACCTCTCGGGAACTTCCCGGTATAATACTTTTATTGAGTCCTTGTCTCTTCTTCGATCCCACTGGTCCTTTGCGTGAGTCGTTTGTTCTTTCATGATCGCGGAAAGCTTTTTGTGGCGCACGCAAGCATTGGTATGTAGCCTTGAGATTTCCAATTCTACCCTGCCTCGCGACAGTGCAAACTACGGGTATTTTGGGGTCTTTGTTTCCTTTTGTTGCCACAACTGCTCCTTGAACTGTTTTCATGGCGCACTGCTGTTTGATTTCTTCCGCTTCCCCATCATTTAACTCAGTACCGTTTAACCTGATATCTAGAACATCCATCATAAAACCAAACTGGCATGCTAATGTTAAGTCACCTGTATCAGCGGCTCCTGTAAGATCAAAATCAAATATGACAACTTATGAACTACTACTTATGAGCTCAAAATAGTAAAGTTTTTAGGAGCCATTTTCTTACAAAATTTTTCCTTTTACATGAGAAACAAAAAGTTGGCCCGACTAGAAGAATGATCACCCGCCTTTTTGCGATGGTAGGATCACCCTCCTAGCCGGACCAAGTTTTCTCCTTATAATTAACACTTTGGCACGCTCAGTTTGGTCAACTCGGTCAAAGCGAGACAATCAGCATGCGCGAATGCTCTGAATGCTGATGGCAGCTCTTAGCTCGGGCAAATGGGTCAACTTTTTTTTCTCATATAGAGCGGTTTTCACTTGACTGTTGAAAGGGATTGGTTTTGGTTTTGGTTTTGGTTTTACTACGCCCTTTGGTTGGCTAGTGTATTTACTTTGGTTTTGGTTTTACGACAGTCAAGTGAAAACCGCTCTAAACGCACGCTATGAATTAAAGTTGACTAGGCTAGGAGGTTGATCCTCTTTCCCGGACAATTCTTCTCCATACAGTGGAACCTCGATATTAAAGGGGCTGGCAAAATTTGTTCATTAGAGTGGTTTTCGTTTGAGTGTCGTAAAACCAAAACCAAAGTAATTACTCTGGCCAATCACATAGGGACACAGACAATACATTGAACCAATCAAAACTCGAAGTAATTACATGTGGCTGACGCAAAGCGCGGGAAAATGCATGCGAGCGCGTCACAATTGGCTTTGGTTTTACTTCTGATTGGATGAAAAGGTGGCGCGAATCTTTTAAGCCAATCGCATCGTGTAGAAAGTGCAAAACCAATTACTTTTCGACACTCAAATGAAAACCGCTCTATACCGAGGTTAAGTAGTTATATCAAGGTTCTGTTTCATATATTTTACTATTACTGGGGTAAAGAAAAGGCACTTGTTATTCCGAGGACTTCGTTAGATAGATGTTCGTTATATCGAGGTTCCACTGTATAAACGGGGCCTAATTTCCATGCGGAAGTACGTTATAGTTTTATAGACGTATTGGGATAATTTGGTCTGCAAATTGACTTGTTTTACCTTCTACAATGTGGTTTTCAGTAGCTTTCCACTTTGACAAGGAGTTTATCCCGCATTTATGAATTGCTGGTTTGCAGGTGACGTCACGGCGGCCATGTTGGTTGTCAAGAACAAGAGCATTTTTCTCCGCTGGGTACTAAACTCCTTTTCATGTAAATTTTCGATTTTTTCCATTATTGACCCCTAACATAGCTGCCTCGTCACGTGGTCGCAAACCTAGAAGTTCTCTTTCTACGCGTTTCCATTTATAAAAACTAGAAATACTTGTTTCCCAGAACCTCGTGAAGCTTGAGGGGAGAGTTGCCCATAAAATGCTAGTGATGGAAACTGAGATAATTCCATCTCGTTGTGTGTTTGTGGAGCAAATTCGAATTCAATCACCTGGCTTTAAAAAGGAAGAAATCACATCGGATCTTGTAGTGGTCAGATTTGTTAAGGATGGGTGGCCAAAGTCGAATAGGTCTTGTGTTGACCCTTTTTGACATTCCTATAAATATAGTCAAAGAGAATGGGTGCAAGAGGAAGACTGCAGGATGATATATGCACTGGCATTTTCTTAATTTCTGGTACATGAGAGTGATCGATTACAAGTACAGCTTCATCCTGCCATCTGTATACAATAGGGAGTTTTAGCAACGACGACAGCGACGGCAACGTGAACGTCAAAAAAGCACAACTTTACACGTGCAGCACACATGTTTTTGTACATTTCTTTCAATGACGTTATTGCACGACTACGACGTGAAAATGCCTAGTTTCATGTTTTATGGAATGGAGGACGGAAACAAACTAGCGACTAAGAAATTTTCTCTCTTTCAAAACTCGAGCGCAGTCCTCAAGAAATCAACTCCGGTGAAATTCGCCTACTTTAAATATTTTTAGTGAATTGCTGGAATAAACACGACAAAGTTTGAAGAAAACGCGAATTCATTTTAGAAGTAACGTTTTCGCTGTCGTCGCCGTCGTCGATTCTTAACCCTTTAAGCCCTAAGAGTGATCAGCATCAAAATTTCTCCTTGTAATAACAAATGAATGCTTTGAAAACAGAGTGGCCATGAGAATTACGGACATGGTCACACAAGATGAATTTGCTTGATATTTTATCAACTTCTCCCCACTACTTCCGTAGGAAATGAATGGGGGCAACAAATGAGAACTTAGGGTTTAAAGGGTTAAACCCCTCTAATTTGATTTCACCCTCGGAACTCCCCGACACTTACTTATGTGAACTAACTTTAGCCGACGCTGTTGGTCAGAAGTTGTCAAGCATCGATAAACTGTAACAATCATGACATCTGAGGACAGTTTTCTTCCTGACAGATTCAGCTGACATCCTGCTGGCTTGTTCATGTTCACTGGATGGAATGTTCGCTGGCATTCGCTTTGAGACTGCGCATAAATTCCAGGATAGACTTGGTTTGCTATAATCGCTCTTTTTGACTTGAAGAGCGAGATACCGCTGACATCAATTTTACTGGTCTCGCGTTCGTTACAAGTCAGATTTATAGGAACTCCGTAGGACTTATCTAAAAGCATTAAAAAGAGCCAACTGAAACTTCAAGAGGACCTCGCAACGCTGGAAGCAGGTTTTACTAGAATCATTCATCTTTAGAGAAAATAATAGATATTCAATTATTAGCGTAGAAATATTCAGCAATTTTCAGCAGTTGTCAGTTTTCAAGTTAGCCTAAGAGGACGTACCCTGGGTGTCAGAGACTTTCAAGTATGGCTTTCGGTTTCGGTCAAGTCTGTATAGCCAATTGGATGCGGCCGTTCTGGAAGCTTCTCCGCCGCACACAATCGCCGCAAGAATGCTTCAAAAACGTACAAGTAGAAGCTTGTTCATTGTAATGTCGCGGCGAAACAAGATTCTGATACTGAGTCAAATAAAGGTTAACTAAGGTAAACGTGCATCTGACAAGTTGAATTATTTTACAGTTGTTGTCTTCTTCCTCCTCGCGATTTTTCTTGTGCAACTTGTGAATAATTAACTTTACAATGGGAAACAGGAAATGTTTCACCAATAAACAATTTTGATATAAATTGAATCAAGCCTCAAAATAATTGCAAGTTTATTTGACTCACCGATTAGAATCCGAGGTCCATGCTGTGAAACCGAGAGCATGTTCGTGAACGCACTTGACATCGAAGCCAGCATCACTAAGAAACAAAGGAGTACAACGGAGGAGAAATAGGTAGAACGCATTTTCAAGTTGGGTGATTACATTTCGTCGTAAGAGGAAAAAAAGGCCATTCAGTACATCCTGGAATTGTTAAACGAGGGAGGCAAAATGTAAAACTAAGGGTTGGTATTGGCAAAATGATGGTATTTATAACGGGACCCGTCTCTCCTTGGAAAGAACATCAAATTCAGGCAAACAGTCGCTACAAAAGGTCGTGGTAAGATGTATTTCACTTAAAGATACCATGAATAAAGGCGTTTGAAGATCGCAGGTTGTTAAATTGTATGTCGTGTTAGATAAAGACAGGTATGCAAACAGGCAGACAGATAAATGGCAGTATTCGATGGTGAATACGCCACTTATCACACTTAAGAGTCAGTATTCTGTTTAGGTCAACCAACCGTTTTATTGGTAGATCCTTGAAAATTCTTGAAAAATAATAAATTGCATTGTCGAAAATTAATAATGCGTGCGGCTACGGCGGGAGTTGCTAATTTCCTCTCCTAGCCTCGCTCAAGGGTAAAGTAAAAAATAGCGATACTTAATATATTTTATATTAGGCTACCTCCTCATCTCGGTCCGTACTGCAATTTACACACCGCCTTCTTACTGTTGATTTATGGCCCAAGCGCCAAGAAGCGCAGGAGAGAAAACGAGTCCTTAACTTACAGTACGAACCTAGATAACGAAGCTTGTAAGATATTAAATTTCTGACTGGTTAATCGAGCGCGAGGGGGATAAAATAATTAACAATTATTCCTCGAGCCCGAATGGGCTCCGAGTCAATAGCCCATGAGACCGAAGGCCGAATGGGCTATTGACTCAGAGGCCAAAAGGGCGAGAGGAATAATTGTTTTAGTAAAATCCATCTAGTTGGTCACAAATATCAAGACAAAACAACGTGGAATTTTTCATGAACTTAACTTTCTAACTTTCATTCGTCTCATGAAAGGTTTGACGTTTGGTTAAGG